AAAAATAAATCGATTTTAGTTAATTAATAATTAATACAAAACAACAACAAAATATATTTAAATCAAAGTTTTGGATAATTATTTTGGAAAATATTTTTTAGGTATCACTATGCGGACGAAGTCACACGTTTGAGAAAATTATTATAGAAATTTAGTAAAGAAAATAAGTGTAGCAATAAAACCACCCAATAACAAAATAGACATTGTATGAGTCAATCATCTTTAAAAATTAGTAATTTTTTGATTTTCCTTTTTATTTTTTGTTTCTGCATACTAACATAATTTTTTAAAACATTACGACTAAACAGAAGTTTTGCTTATAGTATAATTTATTCGTATACCTACTAACATCTTTCAAGTACGTAAAAAATTTTTTCAACGAAAGTTATATCGGAAAAATGGCTACGCAATATTACTCATAAATACTAATAATTCTACACCACACATATGAATCAATAAAAGGCATAAACTTGACAAAAGGCAATAAAATTCAATCAAACAGCCTCACATTTCTTTTCAATGTATTGCCACAGATCACGATTTCTTACCCACGTTGTAAAACATCGAGCTAGGAGGAGACGGTGCCTTCCATAATTCACTTTGAACTATTCAGCCGACATTTGTCGTATATAGGTCGAGTAGCTACGGCTTCTTTAACCTTACGTGTAGTACAAACTGCAATGTAACATAATAAGTTAATACTTATGCACTTCATACTTGAATGTCAGATTAGATAAAGTCAATTGTCAGATTATTTTCTTAGTTAAATCTTGTTAAACCTTTTGGATTTTAAATCACGAGATAAAAATTATCTAAATAAACAAACTAGTAGTTCTGAGAAGAAACATCGCAAGCACAAACTGCATTTTTTATATTTTTTCTAAGTTAAACAAGTAATTAAGTAGCATTGTTTATTTTGTGTTTTTGTCCATCAAATATTCCACCTGTTTCAGTATAAAATTTAAAATTTTTCATCTATTTTTGTGGTAAAAATAAAAAAAAAGTATTGTAACTGTAAATATTAACCAACTGTTCTTAGAACCAGCGGAAGTGTATTCAGAAGAAACTCTCAAATATATTTTTTTAACATAAAATGAGAAAGTTCTTACATCTGAAAAATTTAAAGGCTCTATTCTCGAACTCAGTCAAATATAACTATATCATACCATTGTTACGTACCTACTCCACTTCTAACATTGCACGCCAAAATTGTTGACTCACGTCATGTGCCTATACTTCCGTTGCACAATAAAAGCTATGGCGAAGTGCTGACACAGACAATATGCCATTTATGAATCATAATAACTGAACTCCATAGTAGTAATATATTATTAATGTGGAAGTAACTCGGTATTACCTTTTCGCGTTTAAACCGCTGAACAGTTATTGATAAAATTTGGATATAAATTACATCCTGGAATTGACATAGCTACCATTGAACCTCACTCCATTGATCACACTAGTGAAGACGCGGCCAAAAACTCATATTTTTATAAGACAGTAATTAAACGTAAATGTTTACGATTTATTTAAGTAATTGCATATTTGTTTTGCATATTTGCATATTTGTTTCATTGTTTATTTATTGTTATTGAATCTGGCAAGCGTTGTCCTGCCGCAGACCTCGTTTTGTAGGATAGTTAAAAATGTAGATCTTAAAACCAGCGCCACCTAGGGATCGGCGGTTTGTGAACCTTTTTAAAACTAAGTGTTTTTTGAAAATGAAAATTTCATATAATAAACAAAAATACTACAGTTAATATGTTCATTACTCATGCTAACCGGGAAAAATGATTAGCCATGCAGTTTTAATTACATTGCCCACTAGATACGGCCGATATGTAAACAGACCGGTCATTATTCATAGTGACCGGACTACTCAAGTTACCCGTAACATATATACATATAGGAGGTAGCTATTATAAATACTTTTTCTAGGACCTACTGTAAATATTTAAAAGACGAGAAAAAGATTTCCTAAACTTTATAAAATTACTAATTATAACAGCAAAATTTTATACCACATTTTATATTTCTTTCATATTATTATCTTCAAGGATTTATTTTAATTACAGAAAAGGATAAAGATAACAAATAATTAATCCCTATTATTTATTTATTATTATATTCTTTATGATTGGAATATTTTTTTTATAATTAGATTAATTTATCATTTATTTTTTGTTAAAACATATTGGTCCTATAATGGAGTTACTATTAAACCTTAGATTATCTATCTATACTAATATTATAAAGAGGTAAAGTTTGTGATTTTGTGAGATTGTGACGTTGAAGGGTGTCTCTGGATGTACTGAACCGATTTAGATGAAATATGGTAAGAAGATAATTTGAGACCCTGGGAAGGACATAGGATACTTTTTATCCCGGAAATCATTCCTTTAGGGGTTGAAAATGAGGATGAAATTTTGTATTGGAAAGCAAGCTAAGGACGAACCCGAGCGAAGCAAGGGTAAGTCGCTAATAGTCCATAATAAATGTATAAAATCTAAGCCATTTAAATGTTTGGTTAATAATAATAATATAATTATGAATAATGTAAACAACCAAAAAACTTAGGGAACGTGATTCAATTACGCAATTAATTTTTTTTTCATTTGAGGCGTGCTCTAGAAACTTTGGCAGCCAGCTTCTAGTTGGCAAAGTTTGTACTTTGATGTAAATTAATATAATTTTTTGTTAAACAACTTAAGAGTCAGATTTTTTTAAATATTATATTTTTAGGTAATTTACCCTATTTTGTTTCATAGCAGATACTGAAATGAAAAGTCTCCTTTATACATCATTTAATATTGAATGTCAGTATGTATTTATTTCTGCTGAGAGAACAATCGAAATCTATAATTTCATATAAATGTAATTTTTGGTTCCTGTCTTTTAAAAAATCAAAATAAATCAAAAAGATAGAAAAGATAGTATATTTAAAATGTCAGATATTCGCGTAAATATTAAATGTAATTTTATTTCAGCATTCTATTAGCCATGTCGAGTGTAGATTGTAGAAAGTCAACGTCGATATTTAAGCAATTATCGTTATTGTAATACAGTAGTATAAATTGGCTGTCATTTTAATTATTTTTTTTAACTGCTTTAAAAGCATTTTGTAAACAAAAAGGTTTTTTTCAAATCAATCATCTCCCATATGACATTTCATGGTGATATGTTTTTTATATGGCGTTATCGAAGACCGTTTGGCACTTTGCCCTGAGGGCATCAGGAAAAATACCGAGTATAGGATTTATCGTTTTGGTATTATAATATGACACAATGAAATCGCCGGTCCTTTATAAAAAATAAAAGAAGTACAGAATAAAGGTAAAATATTTTTACTTGATATAAACAGAAATAAATAAGGATAAAATCATTGATACTTTATTCTATATACTAGCGACCCACCCTCGCTTCGCTCGGGTTCGTCCCCAGCTTGGTTCCCCATACAAACTTTCATCCCCCTTTTCACTCCCTTAAGAAATGATTTCCGGAATAAAAAGTATCCTATGTTCTTTCTAGGTTCTCAAACTATCTTCTTACCAAATTTCATCTAAATCGGTTGAGTAGATCCAAAGATTACCTACAACGTCACAAACTCACAATCTCATAAACTCACAAACTTTACCTCTTTATAATATTAGTATAGATATGGATAACAAGTTAAATGAATAGTATGAGTATGCGAACTATGAGTAAGTGTTAAATATGATTAAAAGAGTTCAAAAACCTGCCTGAACAAATTTTAGTCGCAGCAGCCAATATCACTGAGATTAGCAATCTACACGGAAAATATTAACACACTAATATTATTATTATTATACACTAATATTAAAGTTTGTGAATATTTGTATTTGTTATTGCTATATGCAAAAATTGTAGAATGGATCGTGCATGATGATTCAATTATATTCAATTAAGATTTGCCTATATATATACATAGGTACTTAACCTATGTATATATATAGGCAAATCTTGAACTAGTGATATACCTATGTAGGTACTTAGGTAGGTACTTAGGTAAATAAGTATCGAAAAGCAAATATAAAAATCTATAAAAGCAATGTGAAAACTAGTAAGATGTTTATGTTTTTGACAAAGCTTATTTTTTTATATGCTGTAATATTTTAGGTAATTTTAGAGTTCTTTGGAATGCCAGTTGGCATTTTGATTAAATAAAATATCTATACTTTCCATATAAAATAAAATCACAATTTATATGATATGAGATTGGTCTAAACGAAGCAATTGGCTTAGGCAAGGTTTGAAGATTATATTAGTAAAAAGATGTCATTAAAGATATCCTCTAATCACCACTTTATTCCTCGATCAGATCAACACAATGGCAAATTATAAATTGTATTTTCATCCGAATTACATAAACATACAAAACAAATCGAAACGACAAATAGAAGGTTGAAGCAACTTAAGATTCTCTTGTAACGCTCTTAAGACACGCTTGGAATGCCAAGTGAAGTGGGTTCAAACCTCAAGTCTCGTACCCCTGATATTTACACGTCCGATTTTTTTTAAATATGATTACCACTCGCGGTGAAGGCAGACACAGTAAAGAACTTTCATATTTTAGAGTACCTAAGTGTATTTTAAATAAAACTATCTTTTCGGATTATTTTGCGGATTTATTTTGATTTTTGGTTCCCGACGAACACAGCAAAAATTAAATAAACTAATTAAAATTATAAAAATGTTTAAAGTTATAAAATATTGTAAGGTACTTGATGCAATTTTTCATTTTGTTAATTGTGGGTAGGCTGTCTGTAACAACCTTTGAGACATCTAACACCTCAGTCTCCCCCGTGACCATGATTGCTGTAAAGCATTCGAAACGTCGGGAACCATAAACCAAAATAAATCCGCGAAATAATCCGAAAAGATAGTTTTATTTAAAATGTCAAATATTCGCGTAAATCTAAGAAAGTATTACTTAAGTGTAGTTTTCGAAAGACATGTTTAACATTAATTAATATTTTCAGAACGACTGCCTCCACGCTGCGGTGACGTCATTAACTAAGAACCAAGCCGAGCATTACGACAAATACGATTGCCTGTAAGTACTCATAAAAATCCTTACACGTTAAGCTTTCTCCCAATTAACTTTTATGTCTAATTATATTTAACTAGCATTGCCCGCGGCTCCGCCCGCGTTCAGATGACCAAAAACTAAATTCTTAGGTGTTACATATTAGTATACTCTTACATTGCAGTTTTTGTATTTTTCCTCAGAAATAAGATATTTTCCCGCGGTAAAAAGTATCCTAGGATCGCGCGCTACATCGCCCGGTTTATATAGCTTGAGCAGGCGGTCGAGCGATGCGGGGCAGAGGGGATGGACTCGCCGTAGGCATCTCAATGCTCGCCAAGCATTAAAAATGTTTCGCTACTAATTACTTCTAACAACGATATCTCAAAAACTATTCATCTGATTGATTTAGTGTAAAGAGCAATTTTAATCTGCATTAAATGACTAAGCTAACTAAAATATTCATTTGGATAAGGATTAATACCGAACTAAAGAAAATAACTTTGAAAATAACGTAATGTTTTTAATTAAAAATGTTAACATAAAAGTGGTTATTGTAAGTCAACCGTAAGAGATAGAGATATGCTATCGCGGACTTTTTTGTAGCATTTTTATAGATTTTGAATTCTCTAGTACATTACTTAACTGTATCTTTGCTAGTTTACGCGGCGTTCGCGTGGAAAGTTCCCATTTGGCGAGATTTTTTGCGACCTCTTCAACATTTGTCGCCGTATTTCAGCTAATTTACATAAAAACATAATAAATTATATACCTAAACCTTCCTCAAGAATTACTCTTTCTATTGTTGAAAACCGTATAAAAATCCGTTCAGTAGTTTTCGAGTTTATCGCGTACAGACAGACAGGAGGACAGACAGGAGGACAGAAAGACGCGGCCGGGGGACTTATTTTTATAATAAGTATAGATGAGCTGTAAACTTCACGAGGATTCTTTATTTTAGTTCAAGACAGTATATTTCTGTTTTTAAAAATTTCGTGATAACAATTATTTATTAAACTTACTTCTTTAATAATTTATTTGACTTTGAAATAGTTTTTGATGATTATGTAGAATACCGTAACTACGACGTAAATATGAAACCTCATTAGAGCCCGTCAGGCTCTAAAATATATTGATTGCCTATTTCCATCAAAACTAATGGACGAAAAAAGTTGAATTTTGCGTAGTAAATGAACACTTACTTTAGGGGTCATTAGTCATTAGAATATAATTAAGGGAAAACAATAAAGTGTACCAAAATTAGGAATTGTTAAGTTTTATTTTACTCAATATAAACGACTCACCCCTGCTTAGTTCGATGGGTTTTTAGTAAGTGTATTTTTACTATGCTCTTTATTGCTTACTAGCGACTCACCCTCGCTTCGCTCGGGTTCGTCCCTAGCTTGCTTTCCAATACAATCATTCATATCCATTTTCATCCCCTTGAGGGATGATTTTCTGGATAAAAAGTATCTCATGTCCTTCCCAGGCTCTTAAACTATCTTCTTACCATATTTCATCTAAAACAGTTCAGTAGATCAAGAGATTACCCCCTACAACATCACAAACTTTACTTCTTTATAATATTAGTATAAATTTGAAATTCTTTAGGCAGCACACAGAGATAAAGCAACTCAACGACTAATTTCAATTAAAGTAACTATGATTTCTAACAGTAAACACATTTTAATAGGAATAGCCAGAAAAAAAATGATACCAAAAAAAAATAGCAGTATGTAGTTTCATAGATTACCGCCTACATCCAAACCTACAGAGTTACAAATATGACCTCTTTAAAATATTGCTGTCTGAATTTTAAGTTATCAAATATATTAGATAATAATATCCCCTATTCTTCTAATATTTGCCATAGTACAAAAACCGATAGTTTCGTGGTATCTAACCAAAATATCAAGTTAAGTCACGTTTTACTTTGAATTCTGGAAGCGTATTACAAAATATTTCTGTATCACGACATGTTGAAACATCGCAATCAAAGCGAATCCTTACAAACATAAAAGAAACCTCGCTTATTAAGCCGTATATACATTTCAAATATTGTCAACGGGCTTAGCTCGTTTCTACTTAAATTTGGTACTTGACGGTGATGAACATATGTTATATTTTAAGTTAATGAGATACTCCCATTTCTATGGCAACTTGTTTTTGGTAACTAAAAATGTAGTTCGAATGAGAACACGTAAACTAAGGCACAGTACATTTGCTTTTCTATTTGTAAGTGACACTGTTACAATTTTCGAGCCTCTACAGCATGAACCTGTGAGTATGATTTTTTCAGTTAAATTGCCATAGCTCTCATACCCTCTATACATATAGAGTTATTTTCTCTTCTCACTTTTGGTATGGTGAAACAAATAGAACTACATTACACACTTACCTACATAAGGAACTCTTGTGCAAATCTTGTTTATAGATTAATATTATAACTAATGGTTTAGGTTGGACACTGCTGGTGAGTAAGTTAATGTTCTACACTAGTAAACTTTAGATTTGTCAAGTAGATGATAATACTAATGAAATTTGTATATTAAAAAGTTTAAAAATATCTTACACTCACGGATGAGTCTTGATATACATATTATGTAAATTATATTTTGTCCAACAAAACAATAATTGTTGTTAAAGGAACAATAGAAAAAATCTAGCAACTATTGTACATACATTTTATAACATTCCAAATATTATAAAGCTTTCAATAAGTCCGTGCACGTATTTAGAGCTATGACAATTTTATAGTGGCATTTATTTATTACGTTATAAAATTTCGCGAATTTTTCGAACATTCATTTATAGCTTTAATCCACGTCAAAACTGCTAAATTTTAAAATTACCGTCTAAACTTCTTCGTGTGTTCCTCACAATACGTGACACTGGCAGAATGTATTGCGTCTGTTAACAGTCAACTCTAAGCTACTAAAGAAAAGAAAAAAAATCGCGATTTTTATATTTTGTTATTTTAGAAATATTAAAAATGGTCTGTGCGAAGTTTGAATTCACTAAGGTTTAATACGCAATGTCTATAGCGTTGTTATGATGATCGATATATTTTGTACTAGCAGAACCCGCGGCTTCGCTCGCGCTAAAACTGCAAAAAATCTCTAAAAAGGTAGTTTCATACAAACTTTCATTCCCTATTTAACTCCCTTATAGGACGAATTTCGAGAAATGCTAAAACACGTATTTATTTAAATTTATTGAAGGGCACTAATACCAAGCTTCAAGTAATTGTGATTATAAATATTTTTTATGATTCTATTATAACGTGTTTTCCCGTGGGAATTAGATAATATCCCGCGGTAAAAAGTAGCCTATGTCACTCTCCAGCCCTCCAACTATACCCACATATAAAATCATGCCAATCCGTTAGTTCGTTTCGACGTGAAAGAAGGACAAACAAACAAAAAACAAACACACGTTGACATTCATAACATTGTAGTATGGATTATATTACTAAAGTTATGTTTATTTTTGTATATATTTTTGTTACAGCCGAAGATTACCAGATGATGTGAGATCTTGTCGAAATTATGCTTATTTACAAGAAATATATGATGCCGTACGAGCTACAGACAGTAAGTATACTATTATATAGTAAGTATAGAGAAGAGTGTTAATTATTTAGTTAACTAATATTTATAATGGAAATGGTATTACTTAAGCAAAGGGATATATCATATATGTCATTTAATGAATGGTTTGAAATCATAATAGACAAAAACTTAATGTTTTATGAGGATAAAGTAAAATTCGAAGGTTTGAAAAGCAATTTTGGGTAAAAAATTGTGAAATGGACAAAGTAACAAAAACAATTTGTATATCACATAACCCAATTAAAACTTCTTCAGTTTTATTAGATTTTTCAAGTTTTCAGACATTTAATTACGTATCATCTTTAACCTTTGAAGCGGGCTTATTTGATTTTTTTTTGAGTTAAAACTTTTCAAAAACATAAACAATTCTTTTGCCTTCATAAGAACAATGAAAACACTTCACAAACAAGACCTCTGAAAACTTTAGAATTCGGACTATTTTCATTCTTTCATAAATTTTTCAATCTATAAATCTGTGCATATAATAAAATTCTGAGTCAAGTGTCAGAGTCCTTTCATTAAATATTTTTTGGAAAATCTTATTGAAATAGTCATTATTACCAATACAGAGGCCGAATCTATCGTTTTTTGAATTTTTGTCTGTCTGCTTGTCTGTCTTTCTGCTTGGGAACGCATCACGAGGAAACCACTGGACAGATTTTGATAAAATTTGATATGATGGTAGCTAGTTATCCGGGTCAACGTATAGGATACTTTTTACTCCGAGAAAACATCTCATTTATAATACTAAACGTTAAAACGTAACTAGGGACGAACCCGATCGAAGCGAGGGTGAGTCGCTAGTATTATATAAATGTATATTATTCTTTGATTTCAGGTTATAAAACCTATAACTATATAGAATATCAGTCTTTTCTTTGATTTTCGTTTTTGTTTGTAAAATATTCTGGATTCAGTTTGGTTAAGATGATTTGTGTTTTCGCCTTCATTATTCATATTTTTCTTGTCAACAAAAAATAAAATAAAGTAAGATTGACGAGTTGTTTAGTGAAGTCTTCCAAGTAAATTGCCAAGTCGTCGTTATTAAAATATCTTTATACCGCCCTACTCTTTTATCGAAAGATTACATTAATTTAAAGAAAAACAATGATCTTTAAATAGCAATTTGAGGCAGACTTCCAAATTTTTACAAGCCCAAAAATATTTTGCGTATTTATAAATTTTTCAATAATAAAATATTTAAGAATGGGTGGGCCTGAAGGGCGCTTCGGCAATATTAACAGACGCTGAAACATCAATTTCCTTATTTCTAACCTCATGAAATGAATATCTTCCATACCTATTTTAGACTTTAAGGGATAAATTTTCAACAAAATACATAAATAGATAAATTTTAAAATAAATTGGTGCTCAACTTTGTCATACATTGAACTATTGTACAATTTATTTTAGACATAACTCATAATATGGGGAACGTCTTTCAACTATACTATTTATGTACATATGTGTATCTTTATATCTTAATCTCTTGTGACCCCCTTCCCCTTAAAATCGGATCTAAGTGTTTACCAGTTACGGATTTAACAGATATATACATACATGTACAGTAGTATTCATAAAAATTAGCAAGTATGTAATAAACCAAATTGTTTCAGGTGTAAGCACTAAAGATTTTATGGCAAAACTAGGAGAATACTTAATTTTAACGGCTTTCTCACACAATTACCGGTTGGAAAGGGCGTTTAAATGTTTAGGAACAAATTTGACTGAATTTTTAACTACATTGGATAGCGTGCACGATGTTTTACATGATCAAGTAAGTAAATTTAGATTATATTTTTAGATATTCCATAATTGATTATTATTTACTAACGGCTGACCCTCGCTTTCCTCGGGTTCGCCTCTAGAAAAACGAAAACAAATCTATCCCACGGCAAACGTAATTGTTTTTGGGATAGTAGCTTATGTGTTATTCTGATGTACGAATCTATATTATTGTAAAGTTTCATTAAAATCCATTTAGTAGTTTTTGCGTGAAAGAGTAACAAACATCTATAAATCCAGACATCCATGTATCCTTACAAGCTTTCGCATATATAATATTAATAGGAAGTAGGATTATAAGTGATTATTATAGGTCAAAGTATAAAAGAACTAAGAGAAGTTTGAGAAGAAACTCTAGCTTTTCGTCAGGTTTTTATAAACGAGGCATCTGTTAAATTCAAGCTTGACAATACATTGTTTTTCAAATAAGTGACTTAGATATGGTCAAGACCTATCTATTTTAGACTGGCCTTTCAATATTATACTAACAGATCTAACCTAAATTATTATATAGAAAGAATTCTTCTTAAATGAAATAAAAAGTAGTCTAATCGGACTACTATTATAAATGTGAAAGTTTGTTTGTGTGTATGTTTGTTACCACTTCACGTTGAAACGGCTGGACCGATTTTGATAAAGAGAGAGCTCAGCCTGGAGTAACATATAGGCTATTGTTAGCCACCAACGAGGGTAAGTTACTAGTAGATTATTAAAACAAATTCTACATAGAATTAAATATACTTATTCATTTAAGGATGATGTGCTCAGAGATGACTCAACAGAATATGAAGCAGCGTTCGTGTGTACAACATCTCATAGGGGCAGGATACAGTTGCATTTGACTACTGAGAGTGAACCTGTGGCGTATTTATTAGTAGGCTGCCTCAGAGCGATAGCTATGCGGCTTTACGAAACTCAAACAGACATAAGACTGAAGAGTTATTCCAACGATCCTAGAAGATTTAGGTAAATAACTTATACTTAGTTCGATTTAAGTAGACGTTAGTAAATACAAGGGTAAATGATTTTGGTCGGAATATATATGTATGGTTGTTATCTTTCGAGCTTCTTTAATTTAGTTTACTCGCATCATAACAATTTATCGTAAATTAAGTTTACAATACAACCCATTTTTTTAGTTTTAACAAGTATAGGTCTGAAAATAAAAGTAATTAAAAATTACCCCAATCTAATCATCATAGATTAAAACTTATTTTTTTGATCGATTAATGTAATGTAAAAAATTATTAACTTTTGATTGATTTATATGCTTTTTTAGTTATTCGATATTTATCCTAATAAGTATAAGTCCATGTTCTATTTTTACTATTTGTTAGTATTTTTAGTACGTATTCATTAAATGGAACGAATACACACACCTATGTATGCTTCACGGAAGGTCTCATATAAATTTTAAGAAAATATTTTAACCCTCTAAAGGTGAAATTATTTTTAAAGCAATGGAAATTACCAAATTGTATTTTTAATAATACTTTCTTAGATTTACGCGAATATTTGACTTTTTAAATAAGACTTTCGTTTCGGACTCTATTTTGCTTTTTGATTCCCGATGTTTCAAATGCTCGAATGAATCAATTATTTAAATTATTAAAATATTTAACATTAAAATTATCAAATATTGTAAGGTAGGTACCTACTTCGTTACCCTTTTTCTGTTTCTTACAAATTATTGTATTACTTTATACCTAGCGCTTGTAACAACTATATAATAACTTTTTAGACGTCTAAAAGCTTGGTCTCTCCCGAGACCGTTATTGCTGTGAAGCATTCGAAACGTCGGAAACCAAAAATCCGAAAATTCAATATTTCTAACATATATGTGTATTGCAGATATGACATAAGTGCGGAACCATTACATCAGAGGTCAAAAGAAGACAACCACGAGGCGGCCAGCGACGCAGTGAGCTTGGCCACGTCGAACAAAGTTAATGATTTAAGGATCGGAGTCGCGAGCTTCTGCAAAGCATTCCCCTGGCACTTTATCACTGACAAACGACTCGAACTAGTCCAACTTGGTACGTAATTTTAAAGTTAAACTTATAGTTATAACTGATGTTCTTCCATTCTTTTCTTGTATATACTTTAAATATTGCATAATTCTTTCTCGTACCACTATCGTTTTTAAAGTTGAAATTTTTTTTTTTTTTTATTAGAAATGGGCTCACTCTTGACCTTTATCTTAGCTCGAAGGCACAGATAAGGTCTACGATCTAGCGAGTTTGCCCAGGAGAAGCCTGTTAACACGCACCTTAAATAGGTTCAGGTTATACGCACTCGGAAAAACAGACGCAGGCAGCGCATTCCACATCTTGGCTGTGCGCATTATAATTTCAACTTACAAAAGTGAAAGTGATAACTTAATGAACAAATTGGGTGTATGTTTGAATGTGTGTAGGCTACGACGTAATTGGCTTACTATTACAAGGTTCTATGTTACAATTTTAGTACTTATTTAGTTATTAATGTTACAAGGTTCTATGTGTCATTAGCTACAGTTTTGCAAAAACAAACCACTCGATAGCGGCACTATAACCACAAAATATTCAATTTTACATAGTTTTATGTTGTTTTTTTGCGATAACAAAATAACGAAGATCTATGTAAAAATTACTAAACTTCATTAAAATTAACATAGAACCTTGTAATATATAAGCCAACGAATTATGTTTACCAATCGGGAATCGATTTTCGTAATTTTTTTACGTAGTTTTTTTATTTTTATTATTTAGTATTGATATTTTGGTAAATTAAAAATAAAAATAACGTTATTTAATAAATACATGTTTGACTTTAACATGATATTGAAACGGTACATGTTTCGCCTTTACAATACTCGTAGGTATTTATCTTATTTTGAATCTTAGTATTTGCATCAATTTAAATAACGCTACATATTCATTGTACTAGATAGCCTTTACTGATATATACCAGGTTTCATTAAGCATGCACAGAATAAACCAATATACACTCTAAATAAATACTTATATACAATATGTGCCGCGTATAAATATTTGCTCCTAAAAAGATTTAAACGCGGGATATTCAGTGCATTGACATAAGCGACATCAGACAGCAGAATTATCTTATTACTAACGACTTACCCTCGCTTCGCTCGGGTACGTTTTATTTTTTTTGAGCGGAACCCTAATTCTTTTTCTAAAATAAAAATACCCCAAGTTGCTCCTTATTACATAAACTATCTACCAATGAAAGTACCGTCAAAATCAGTCCAAGAGTCCAGACCAAGAAACAAAGAGACAGACAAAAATTTTAAAAAGTCCTTTTTCCTTATAGGTATCGTATATAAGTATAATTTCATATGCATTTAGTAAAAAAACTTTTATTTCGATATTACAAACAGACACTGCAAATTTATTTATCTGTATAGATTTAGAACATGAAACTCAGCAAACATTTTCTTGTAAGTTGTAGATATCATAATCAAATTCAAAAATTTACGATAACGCCAAGCCTGATATAAAGTTTCCTTTAATAAATAAATTGTGAACGCTTTACTAGTTATGAGCCTTAACTTGTTTACGAAACACTTGCTTATTTAATACTATCGCTGTTCAGTCTCTAGAATACTCTAAAATTCATAGCTGTGAGTAAGATCTTATGAGGCTTTATTATATTTTCAAAATATCATCGTGTAATTTTCAAATAATTATAGCGTGATAACTTACGGAAAATTAAAGTATTTTGTAGTTTATCTGTGACCCAAAGACCACATGCTTTAACTTTTTATACAAAAATATGTAGTTAAATAGAAAAAATCTAATTTACGATTAATATATTAGGTTTATATTTTGGTAAAAAAAAGAAATAAATCCACACACACATATGGAATCTTTAAAATTATATTTTTAAAAGTAAGTTTGAAGGTCATTCTTATTTAATGCTTGTACGGTGCATACTAAATTATTGAGTTTCGGAACAAGGTGTTTATTCGTACAGTTTTTATAATAACAAAATAATTTTAAATATTACATGTAGCGGAAAAAGTTATAGCTTATAGTTTTAGAAAATATAAGTAACTCGCTAGTTATTTAGTCTAGTAGTTCTAGTAAGTTAAGCTCATAAGTGAACAATATAAATAAATCTATCCCTCTGGAACCGTAAATTTTGCCGGGATAAAAAGTAGCTTATGTGTTATTCCAGACTATAATCTATCTCTGTACCAAATTTCATTCGGATTTGTTCAGCCGTTCTGACGTGATTGAGTAACAAACATCCATCCATCCTTTCGCATTTATATATACCTAAGTTAGATTGTAATTCAGTGCTCTTATTATCTTAAATACGTATTAACCACTAAATAAATACATAATATTTTGTTCCAACTTACTGTATCTATATTATTTCCTAAAAAAAAGCACGTGCTACGGACGACCAATGTCACCCGCTTCTTAACAGTAACTACTACCTATCACACACAGGCACCCTCTACGGATCATGTACGTTTTATTGAATTTTATTTTTAAAATGTTGCTATAATTGGTAGGTACTCAAATTTTACCAATCGTCTCTCTCATATACCTGTAACGAAAATAATTATATTCAATAACTAGCGGAACCCGCGGCTTCGCTCGCGCTAAACCTACAAAAAACTGTAAAATGTTGATTCCATAAAAACTTTCATCCCCTACTTTACCCCCTTATGGGATGAATTTCGAAAAATGCTGAAACTCGTATTTATTTAATTTTATTAAATTGCATTAATACCAAGTTTCAAGTAATTCTGATTATAAGCAATTTTTTGGGTTGTATTATAACGTATTTCCCGTGGGAATGAGATAATCTCCCGCGGTAAAAAGTACCCTATGTCACTCTTCAGCCCAACAACTATCTCCATACAAAAAATCACGGCGATCCATCACTCCGTTTTGACGTGAAAGAAAGACAAACAAACAAACAAACAAACAAACATACTTTCACATTTATAATATTAGTATGGATAGATGTTGTGTCGCAAAGAAAATCAATTCAGAAAGACTCTATAACTGGAAGTTCTATTTTGAAGTCGACGCTATGATCTAGTTTGACCTAGAATGTCACAGTGCAGTTTATTTATTTCACGGTTCGAAAATTGGAACAAGAAAACATTTAATTGACATCAAAGTAGTAAAGGAATATTTTTAAGTGATACAAATATTTATTTGTATTTTACACGTTTTCTTGAATCATTTTCGTTATAATGGGCAATGTTAAAGTATAGTAGTTCCTTCCTTTTTGGCTTTACATTTTAGTACACTTTTTGATTTACTTTAATTCCCCCATCCCCTTTCCATCATCGGACAACCCGACGAACGGCTGGTCTCCATCCTTATGTTGTGGACATTCCACCCGTCCGCACGAAGCGTTTCGCTACGTCATTTATTATACGTACGGCTAAGGATTGGAACAACCTGCCTGCGCCGGTGTTTCCGTCCGATTATAATATGGGTGTCTTCAAGGCAAGAGTGAATAGGTGGCTACTGAATTAGTGCGACTTACCATCTACGACTGCGTTACCACTTACCATCAGGTGGAACGTAGTCAAGCACTAATTCTGAATAGTATAAAAAAACTTAATAATGATGAATAATTTAACAGCTTAGATTTAATGATAATTATTTAAACAATAAAAAGGCCTACGAAACTAAACCAGTTGTTCTAGAAAACATGAAAAGATCTATTTATATATTTTCTGTTACTTTTCAAATATTTCATTATTGAATTATGAGGAATATTTGAATAGTAATATGTTGGAAACGTGATAAAATGGCAACTAAGCCGAATCTGTACATTAAATATTTTTTGGAAAATCTTATTAAAATAGACATTATTATCGATACAGAGGCTAAATCTATAATTTTAGAATTTTTGTCTGTGTGTCTGTTACCGCATCACGGAAAAAGAACTGGATGGATTTTTTTATGAAATTTGGTATTATGATAGGCTGGCTATCCGGGACAACATATAGGATACTTTTTACTGCGGGAAAATATCTCATCTCTTTGAAATTGATACTAAACCTTAAAACGTAAATAGGAACGAATGATGATGATGAGTCGCTAGTACATAAATATTCCCTGTACACCTTTGATCATTTTACCAAAGCATACCATAAAATATACGTATAGATCTAAGAAATTTGTTTGCGATTCTCAGAAACGATGTTATTAAGTAAATCTACTTTAACGCTTCTAAGCTTATAATAAACCGCTGACAAATTTCATCGGCATTCACCGAGAATCTCGTTATTTTTACGTTTTATCAATTTTATACGGCTTATCATTACATATCAGAGTTATGATACAAGGTACTTAATATTCTATATTATTCTTTATTATTAATGCCAAATTCTGTATGTTTGTTGTTCCTTTACGCTAAAACGGCTGGGCTGATTTTGATGAAATTTGACAAAGAAGGACTATGATCTGGATGGGGTAACAGGCTACTATTAGAAATATAATTTAAAATGCTTTACATATAACTGGACAAGAACCTCAGATTATATTATTTGTGGACATTTAAAATAATAAACCCTCTTCGAGTACCTATAGGTACAAAAGTGTTAACATAAAAGTTTTTATTTTAAATAATTAATACTTACTACAAATACCTATTATAATATAGGGTATCTACTTTAATGGCATAGACTTGAGAGTTAGGTTCCGCTCGAAAAAACTGCTAAATTTCCGTTTATATTTCGAGAATATTCGAAACGTGCTAAAAGAACTATGATTTTTATTACTCGAAAAAAACATAAATTATACTAACTGTATGTGATTAAAAACATGATAGTATCACCTAAATTAGTATCCGTATTCCGTACTGAGTGTAGGATCACGTTATCGTAATATAATAAAATTGTAACTAAGCCGAATCTGTACATTAAATATTTTTTGGAAAATCTTCTTGAAATAGTCATTATTATCGATACAGAGGCCGAATCTATAGCTTTTAGAACTTTTGTCTGTCTTTCTGTCTGTAACTGCACCACGGAAAAACCACTGGAGGGATTTTGATGAAATT